GGAGAGATTGCAGGCTGAAGGGGAACATGCAATCTTTTGTCCGCAGACCTCGGACCACAATACCAGCATGGACTTTGCAGACCTCCCAGCTCTCTTTGGTTCTGCCTTGAGCCAGGAGGGACTTCAGGTAATTTTCTTTCCCCTTTTCTGTTTCCTTAAACCTCCCATCCTGGGTAGGGATTGAGGAGCCATACATACCCTTGGATGAAGCTAGAGGTAGGAAGAGTTGAGTGAGAAAGTGCATTAGCACATCTAGCGTGGAATCCAGAATCTAGAGGGAGAAGACCAAGCCTACTCTAAGAAATCTGAACCCTGTGAGGGAGACTGAAAGTGGATCAAGATAAAAGGCAGGGAGAAGTGGTGTTTACAGTAGAATCTCTGGGGTCAGTTATTGGTTTATATGATCATGGACAAGTTGATTATCTCTCTGAGCCTTAGTTTTACTTTAGCATGGGATAATAATAGATGTTATCTCAGGGCTATTGTGAGGATTAAATTAGATAAAGAAATTTTATAGTACTTAATCACAAAGATGCCCACACAGCAAAAATTGGGCCATAGATATCAGTGTAATTGTTTGTAAGATGGGTAATTGGAAAATTAAAGAGAGGTGTTAAAAAACAAAATTCTAGCCTGGCAGATGTGGCTCAGTGGTTGAGCCTTGACCCATGCAGAGAGATCACAGGTTCCATTCCAGGTCAGAGCACCTGCCGGTTGTGGGCTCCATCCCCGGTCAAGGCTGTGCGGGAGGCAGCCAATCAATGTTTCTCATTGATATTTCTGTCTCTCCCTCTCCCTTTCTCTCTCTCTAAAATCAATAAAAACACATTCTAAAAAACACACAGAATTCTACCGAGTAAATTTTAAAGACCTTCCTGACTTTATCCAATGATTTATGAATTGGGCAATAACCCATGTAGCAAATAGAAAGTAACTCCAAAGAATTGTACATATTGAAAGACTTTTAAGGCAGAAGGGAGCAGGACAAGGGAGTTACATTAGCAAAGAGCTGGTTGTTTTTGGCAAGGTCACCTTTCGGGAATGGCAGGGGGTCTATCAGGCAGATTACTTCACTAGTGCTGACCAGGTAATTCCAGAATGGCTTAAGATTCCATTCCTGGGAGAGGCTGAAACTGTAATTAAGTTCGGTAGTCTCAGTTTGGTGACATGGGGCTTAGCACAAGTGACTCCATTTTTTAAATTGATGTTAGAGAGAGGAAGGGAGAGAAACATCAGTCACTGCCCTCCCATACACACCAGGGATTGAGCCTGAAACCTAGTATGTGCCCTGACTGGGAATGGAACCTGTGACCTTTTTTGTGTATGGGATGACACTCCAACCAATTGAGCCACACAGGTCAGGGCCTTGTTGCTTCTTTTTTATTTATATTTTGTGTGTGTTGCCGCTTCTTTTTAACAGGAGTATGTTCTGTATGAGTATGTACTGGAGAGGGGAGTGTGAAATGGAACTTGAGAGAAAATGACATGGATAAGTGGAGAGTTGATGTACAATCAGTGGGAAACTGGAATGCAGAATTTGAATTAGAGAATTGGAGTATGGGGTATAAGTTAGCTCATCTGGGACATGGAGAGGGATAAAGGGATGGTCTGGTAAAAGGATGTTGTTTGATATATTTTCATATTGAGGAAGCTGAGAAGAGGTAGATTTCTGACTTAGGTGGAATGCTCAGACCCCAGGAATGAGAAGGAAGTAGATAGAGAACATGTATGTGGGGCCAGTGTGCTTGGTGGGCCCTATGGAGAGCAGAACCTAGGGAGGTGAAATCCAACTGTTTACTTCTCTTCTCCAGGGCTTTCTTGTGGAGGCTCACCCAGCCAATGCCTGCAGCCCCATTGCCCCACCACCCCCAGCCCCGGTCAACGGGTCAGTCTTTATTGCACTGCTTCGAAGATTCGACTGCAACTTTGACCTCAAGGTTGCTGAATATGGAGTGGGAGCTGGGAATCTGAGGGTAAAAAAATGCACCAGGGATGAAGGGAGATAAGACCCATAATGGCTCCTTATCCTGTCTTGTCTCTGTAGGTCCTGAATGCTCAGAAGGCTGGGTACGGTGCAGCCGTGGTACACAATGTGAATTCCAATGAACTTCTGAACATGGTGTGGAATAGTGGTAAGGTTAGACCTGAAGGGCTGGGTTTTCAGTAGAGCTCAGACTTAAGAGATGGTGGATGGGCTAGAGCAGTGGTCGGCAAACTGCGGCTCGCGAGCTACACGCTGCTCTTTGGCCCCTTGAGTGTGGCTCTTCCACAAAATACCGACTTCTGCGCATGGGCCACGAAAGTTTCAGTCACACTGTATGTGCGCGCCCGCACGTGGTATTTTGTGCGGGCTGACCACTGGGCTAGAGAATTAGGGGAAAGAAGTCAATCTTTGGGTGGGATGGCACAAAAGAACCAAATGCTAGGATTACCAAAGCATTTGAGTAGAGGGTTGAGTCCTCAGTGTAATGAATGCCCTGATCCCTGCAGAGGAAATCCAGCAACAGATCTGGATCCCGTCTGTGTTTATTGGGGAGAGGAGCTCCGAGTACCTGCGTGCCCTCTTTGTCTACGAGAAGGGGTAGGATGTGTCCCTCTTTCCCACTCTTTCTTTAGCACTTTCATGCCAATCTGGAGCCCAAGCCTCAGGCCCTTCTGTCTCTTGACTTTCCACCCCTTTTCCATCCATGGGCCTTATCCAGAGTCAGTTACTTTTTCTCTTCCTTTGTCACTTTGCTTTTCCTGCCCCTCTGATACTGATCTTCCTTTTCCCAGGGCTCGGGTGCTTCTGGTCCCGGACAGTACTTTCCCATTGGGTTATTACCTCATCCCTTTCACAGGGATTGTGGGACTGCTGGTTTTGGCCATGGGAGCAGTGATGGTGAGTAGCTCAGGGAGCATGATGGGAAGAGCTGAAGCCTTTAAAACCAGACTGACTCTGGGGTTTAGTAATGGGGATGCTTTGTACTGGATTGTCCAGTTTTGTTCCCTAAGGCTGATCTGATCCATCCACTCCTTTTCCCCAGATAGTTCGTTGTATCCAGCACCGGAAACGGCTCCAACGGAACCGACTGACGAAAGAGCAACTTAAACAGATTCCGACACATGACTATCAGAAGGGTGAGGGGGATAGGGGAGCGGAAGGCCTTCCCCATAGTGTATGGTTCTGAAGGAGTTTGAGCCCAGGAGATAAGGGGCAAAGAAAGATGGCAGAGAGATGTCAGCCTGAAATGCCACCTTTCCTCTTTTAGAGAGGGAGATGGATAGAGATAGAAACATCGATTTGAGAAACAGATTGGCTGCCTCCTGCACCCCCCTACTGGGGATCAAACCCACAACCTGGGCATGTGTCCTGAACAGAAATCCAACCAGTGACCTCTTGGTTCATGGGTTGACAACTCACCTGAGCCACAACCAGCCAGGCACCTTTCCTCTTTTTACCCACACATACAATGAAGACAGGATAGGAACAGAGCAGATGAGAAGTAAAGATGACTAATGGAGTAGTTGGCGGGAAAAGATGAGGACCAACCTTGATTATAAGAGAACATAAGTGGAAGGAGTGGGGAGGATTTACTCTGAGAACAGGTGAGGAGGGGCTAGGTTTTTCGGCCCAGGAGTCTCCTTGCCCAAATAAGGCAATAGTAGAAGCCCTACCCTCATCTCCACCCCTCCCACTGTGGTTATCTCCACCCTCACCCCTCCCCAGATAAAACCCACTTCCCTTCTTACCTCTGCATTTCTTTGTCCCTTCTAAACCTCAGTTCCTACACTTTGGCTTTATCCTGCAAGTCCCAGTCTTAGCTATTCCACTGGCTTTGTAGAACCAGGGAAAATAACTTGCAAGGCTTAGCTACCTACAGGCCTCCCAGAGTGAGTGCTTATGGGCCCTGGTCCAAAGTGCCTCAATAAAAGGACTCCTTTTTCCCACCCCAGGAGACCAGTACGATGTCTGTGCCATCTGCCTGGATGAGTATGTGGATGGTGACAAGCTGAGGGTACTCCCCTGTGCACATGGTGAGGCCCTCAGTTTCAGTGCCCATGTCCCACTCTACCAGCAGGCATGTTGTTTCACCTCATTCCTCTCGGCAGCCTATCACAGCCGCTGTGTGGACCCCTGGCTCACTCAGACCCGGAAGACCTGCCCCATTTGCAAGCAGCCTGTCCACCGAGGTCCTGGGGATGAGGAGCAGGAGGAAGAAACTCAGGGACAAGATGGTGATGAGGAAGGGGAACCAAGGGACCATCCTGCCTCAGAGCGGACCCCACTTCTGGGCTCTAGCCCTACAACGCCCACCTCTTTTGGCTCCCTAGCCCCAGCCCCACTTGTTTTTCCTGAGTCTTCAGTAGATCCCGTACCCTCTCCTCCCTCGCCCTCCTCAGCTGCCATCCTAGTCTAATAACCCTTGTCACCCCCACCCTGATGACCTATTTTGCACAGCATTTCTCTAGCCTTCTATGTTGAAGAATAGGGGATATTTCTACCCTGGGTTTCTCCCTTACCCAATCCCATCCGTTTGAGGGGGTTGGTACAAAGGGACTGGGTCTTCAATTACTGGGTTAATAAAATTGTTTTTGTTGACTAAGGAAGGGGAAGATCATTCTCACACAAATGAACCTCTTACCCACTTGGGAAATTGCCCCCTTTTTTGGTATAAAGGGGCAAGGGAGTTCTGGAAGAGACTAACCTAATCATGGGGATAGCCCCAGCATTTTGTGAGTCAGAGAGGGGGAGCCCCACCCACAGGATGACTCAACTGGCCCTGCCTTGCCCACAGGCTGGGGCCCATTCTATGGTCTGGATGGCTCTATTCCATTATTCACTAATTCAACTAGCACTTGTACCTAGGGCTAGAAACAGGCAGCCAGATAGGCCTGAGGCAGGTGCTCAGTCCTACACTTTGTAGTGCTTCAACCCTTCCTGCTCCCAACCCCAAACAAGGATAAAGGAGGCAAGTCCTAATGACTGCCCTCCACCCAGGCTAAAACCACACAGCACCTTGTTAGAATCTTTTTTATTCAGAAAAAAAACAAAACAAAAAAAATTTTTCCAACCACACACGGGAGGGGTATGGGTAGGGGGAGGTGTCTTCCATCCAGGCCTGGCCCCCAGCCCATGTGGTTTTGGCAGCAATAAGGGGTATAGGGTAATGGCCCAAAAAATAAAAATGGTATATGTGTGTGTATGGGAAGGAGAGTGCCAAAGCAGTGGGGAGTGGTAGGGGGAAGGGAAAGATGAAGTCAGTACTGGGAACGCCGCAGGTGGTTGGCCATTTCAAAACATTTCTTGTTGATCACACCACCGTGGGTACCTTCTTTGCCCATCAGCAGGACTAGCGCTGGAGGAAAGAGAGAGGAGGCTAGGACCCAGGTGTCACAATGCTACCCCCTGCCAGCTGTTGAGCAGCTGTCCAGCCCTGGGGGCTGTAACCCAACCTCATCTCCCAAACCCCACCCCACCCCCCCACACACAGGCAGGCTAGGCTGTCAGTCACCCTGAAACAATAGGGCTTTTCAAAAAAAAAAAAAAAAAAGACGGGAGGAGGGGGGGAGGGTTCAAGCTAAAAGACTGGAAGCAGAACACTAAAATTTAGGGGTCAAAGGCTTATAGACCTGACTCCTGTTCAGGCTAGAAATGGATATGGATGAGCCTGCCAACTCCAAATTTTAACAAAAGGGTTCAAAAGACAACTCCTAAGTGCTGACTACAATCAACAGTCGGCCTCCTCCCAAAAAAGTTTCTCATCTGAAAAGGCTCAAGTAGGAAGAAACTGAAGAGGTAATATAGTCAATTTCTTTATATTTTAAGATGAGGAACTAAGAACTGGAGGGACTATCCAATATCCTAAATACCCAGCAGGCTGGGAGGAGAAGGCTGCTCTGATCCCTTCATACTGGGGAACCACACAGAAGAACCCAAAAGACTCATAGGAGGATGTACATTAGGGATATTGGAGCTACAGACTACAGAAAGATAAGACTCAGAAAACTCACTCCTGGCAGTCATGGTGACAGCGATGTTGAAGGTGGGCGCTCCCCCAGTGCTCTTGGTACGAAGATCCATGCTATAGTCGCCTTCCTGCAGCAGTGTGTCCCGGATCACAGAACATTTCTGGCCCCCGAGTGTCAGCCCATTCACGAACAGACCTGCCCGGTCTTTGCCAACCAGGACAGCAATTTCAGCTGGCTGGAAGGGGAACCAAGCACTCAAGTTAGTACACCAAGGTTCCCACCTTCTCCAAGGGCATACCCGCTTCTCACTTCTCAGGAGAGGAAATGTGTGTGTGTTAAGTGCTTTGTACTCATCTATGAAAGCTGAGGAGCTCTTAGGACTTTCTGGAAGTTAGTCCACAAAAAGATCAGGATCCTCAAACCCAGAGAATGGTAACATGAAGAGATGGCATATTCCTCTGGAGACTTAGCAAACCCAGAAAATAAAGGGCCAAAAGCCAGTGAGGAAAGTGGAGTGGAATGGAGTGGGGAGCCTTTGGATGCTCAGAACCCTCCTTCAGGAAAAGCAGAAGCTAATAGGGGAAGAGAGGGGGCGGGCAAAGCCGGAGAAGCAACTTTGTCCTTATTTGGTCAAAGGTTCTGAAGGAGTTGTTGGGGGCCCGGACGCCTGGGTCTCCAAGTAACCTAGAGTTTAGGTCCAGGTACCTATGCCCCAAGATGAGGAAGCAGATCCCTGGGGGCTTTCCGGGGAAGTTGGAAAACTTCTAAAAGGGGACCTGGGCTGGACCCAGCACGCCAGCTCTCGGGTATAGATACCCCAAGGAACCTTTCCACCCCTCCCCCTTACACCCCAAATCCCCACATCCGGTCCCCTCCCGCCCGGAAATCCCCTTCCCCCCCAATTTGAACTTCCGCTCCCCCTCCCCACTTCCGGGCAGTGTGGACCCGGGAGGCAGTGGTGGGGACAGCAGTGGTCATTCTTTATACTACCTTAGAACTTCTCACAAAGTTCCCCTGCTGCAGGCCCCGCAGGATGGCGGGAAGGGAGGGCGAGGGGACTTCCGGATTTGGTCTCACAGGAATGCTGAAGTCCACCACGCAGACTTGGGGAGGGGAGTTGGGGACGTGAGGCGGCCCAGCCTTTTCCAACCAAGTTGGGAGGGGCAGGGAGCCCACAGAGGACCAGCATGGAACCCCGGCCACGATCCCTCCCGCATAAGGGGGAACAATGGTGGAGGGGGCATGAGTTGGCGACCGGAAGTGGAGCTCGGGGGTCCGGGGGTCCCACAGTCCCTTCTCAATCACAATCCCCGGTTGAAACTGCAGCGCGTGCCCGCCCCGCCCTGAACGAGGCGGAAGTGGGCCGCCGCACCGGGCGGCTCACCCCTCCCCGCCCTGTGCCCCGGATGTAACGCCCCGTCGCGGAAAGCGGGCGGCGGGCTGGATGGGAGACACCGCCTGGGGCGTAGCACTTAGGGGGCTGCCGAGGGACCCTCACGTGCAGCCGCCATTCGCGCCGCTTCCAGGGCAAGGACCGGGTCGCGGCCTTTCGCAGCCCTTCCCAGACCGCACCCGCCGCCACACAAGTCCCTCCCTCAGAGTCCAAGCTCGGCCAGTACCCGGACCGCGGAGGCCTCGCAGTACCGTGATGTTGGCGAAGGCTTTCCCGGGAACGGCGGCCCAGATGGAGGGCGTGTCCTTATAGCCCACGATGGCCGCGTCCTGACAGGTCCCGTCCGCCATGAGGTTGCTGATGTAGGCGTCCCACCCGGGCGTCGACATGGCGCTGCTGCTGGGGCTGCTCTCGGCGCTGCTGCTGGGGCCGCGGGCTGGGCTCCGGCTGGCGGGCGGGGGGAGGCGGAGAGCTCGGGGCACGCGCTGCCGTCCGGACCTCGGCTCTGCTAGCTGTGCAGCAACCCTCGCACCGCCACTTCCTGCTCCTCCCCCCCTTCTAGATTTTTATTTGCAAAGGGCGGTAGGGGCGGGGCCTGCTCCCCATTCCCTCCCTACCTCCCCCCTTGCCTGCCCAGATACCTAACTTTGTGCAAATGCAATTTAAAAAATCCCTCCCCCATTGCAAAATTTGCAGAGGTCAATGGAAAGCAACATAAAGGGATGAAAAGAGTGGGGAGCAGGAAGAGGTTAGGGTGAAGGCTCCCTCCAATTTGCATTGTGAACCACACTTGGGTATAAGGGAAGGGAGTGAGCCAGAGGAAGGAAAGTAAAAGGAGGAATTCCCGAACTGCCAATTTAGCAAAATTGAGTGGGTTCGGGGAACTCAGGGTTAAACGGAACGACTCCCCTTCCCCCACCTCCGCC